GAACCCCTATGTACTAATTAACCAGCTCCTGCAATTGTCATCTCTTTTCCATGCATGTTGTAATATTATTCTTATTTAATTTTGCACAAACTAGGTCATGTGTATATAATCTTTTGCCACTAGCTTTGCTCACTTAGCAATATATTTACTAAATAAGTATTGAGCATTTACTATGTGCCAGATTCCATTGTGGGTGATCAAAACAGACAAAAACTCCTGCCAGTAATGAGTATACATTCTAATGGAGATTGAGCTACCTCATTCTTTCCAACATCTGCTTAATTTTCTTTTGTATGGGTGAACTTGTAGGCTGTTCCCACCTTCTTGTTGATAGACCTTTGAGTTATTTATGATTTTTTTATTATAATAATTCTCATCATAAGCATGTTCATATGTATCTTTTTTGAGCTCGTGTGCAGAGTTTCTGTGAAGGATGGATTGATTCCTAGAAACTGAAAGATTGGATTACTGAGTTTCAAAAAAGGAAGCCATAGACTCAGCTGTGTTGGCTTTTGCCCCTGGATCCAAATGTTCATCTGACAAAGTCATTCTTTGCGTTTTTATCACAGTTCCTTAGGTCTTTATTTCCACTTTCGTATTCAGTACCCACGAGGCCCTTAAGTACTCTAACTAAAAGTGCACAGAGATCAAGGGTGATGTGGTTTTGGGGTCACAGAAGCAGCCAGTATGGACAGAAGTTGTGATGGATTTTTTTTTTAATAGTCATAGGCTTGAGTTTAGTATCTCAAGTGTTCACCCTGATAATCCAAAAGCATTTGCATAAAGAAATGGAGATTTGACATAGTTTCTCAGAATTCTGAGAGAGTATCGTGGTGGTTTTGCCTGTAAAGCAATATGTCTCTTTGCGTGATTGAGATGCCTGGTGACCACCAGTGACAGACCCAAAGTTATTAAGTTGGACAACACTGTAAGCAACTTTGTAAGCAACCCAAGGCCTATTAGAGAATTAAGAGAGATTGGCTTTGTGTATGAGCAATAATTAAATCTGATTTAACCCAGAAAGTTGCAAGGCAGGGTATTTGGGGAATTATAATTCGAAACTCAAATACTTGATCTGAAAGAAGCTTGGAAAGGGACAGGGAAGGAAGATAGAGCTTGGCACAGCATTGTCAGGGCAAAAGGAAAAGACTGTGCAGCTTTCAATTTTGCTTCTGCATGGTATTCTCTGTGTAGGTGCCCTAGATTTAGTTTTTTACAGTGATATGATGAATTCATGTGGACCCACCCACCATTCTTGCCTGGTTCCCCAAGGGACCAAGGGAAGGTGTCTTCAGGATGACTAGTGGAAGTGACAGGTATGGTCTGAGGTTGGGAAGACTCTCAGTGCAGTGGAGCTCGTCACATGTGCCTTTGATCCAAGAGAATTCAACTCTACCCATGCATTAAAGAAAGAGGGTGGGAATAACACCCGAAATTGCATTGGCCAACTCATCAAAATGCCACTCAAAGCTGGTGCGGTGGCTTGTGCCTGTCGTCCCAGCTACATGGGAGGCTGAGGCGGGAGGATTGCTTGAGCCCAGGAGTTCGAGACCAGCCTGGATGATATAACAAGACCCATCTCAAAATTAAAAAAAAGATGCCATTCAATGACTGTGGGTATGAAATGGCTTTTCCCTTTGTTGGACTGAGTCGCTCTCATTGTGTGAACAACTTGCAGAGCTGAGTGTGACTCTAGAATGTAGCTCCTAACTTTATCTGTTACCCAGCCATTGAAATGGCTATCCCTTCCAGTGCCTGGAAGATTCCAGTATCTGTGTGGGATTTCAAGACAGTCTTTTGTTCTTCAATGTGGTACCTCTCTGCAGGATTCTCCAGGATAATTTTGATTATGGGTGTCACTTGCTTTCCTTTTGTGTGTAACTCCTGTGTACGATGCAGTTCCCCCATAATGTGCAGGATTAAATGTTTAGGTCAGCCACTGCTAATACCCTTCATTCTTGCAAGTTGGTAGTGTTGTTACGTGTCCATTGATGTCTCGGCTTAGTGTGTCTAGCGTGTTAATAAACATGTGTCAGATTCCAGATCTCACATCCATTTTAGTTCGTACTTTGTACATTGAGGATCTCTGACTGAGAGATTAGACTTGGAAAAGGAATAAGACTGTATGTTTGAAAAAAAAAAAATATAGTTGCAAACCCACGCAGGTGTGTGGCTTGTCAACCCTGGTGAGCAAGTGTCAGGGCTTCACTGGGTTCTTTGGGCTCCGTGGCCCTCCCCCTCTTTAAAGCACTGCTGCGTATTAAGGCGAGAAAGGCATTAACTGTTGCTGACACATCCAAGGGAGATAAAACTTGGGCTAGTGGGGTAAAACTAAGCAGAACACACGTAGTGAGAATGGAATGATCTTGACGCCAACTCCAAAATTTATTAAAATGAGAATCATGTTGCTTATGTCTTATTATAGAGCAGTCTTAATGCTAATAAGCATGTTTGACCAAACACTGCCCTGCAGCCTTCAGAGAGGAAGAAGAAAAGCAGAGTTTGTATCCTCCCTCCCTATTTTCTAAGTCTATGGAATTCAAATTATAGCTACCATGGAAACTGCACTTTGGAATTTCTGGAGCCCTTAATTTTAACTTAACATATAAAAACACTTTTGTGCTGATTTTATAATTATTCATGATGGATGAGAAAGTGACTAAATGTCTTTGACAGTGAGGGAAGACATAAGAACACTTTTTTCTCTCTTCTCTTTCATAAAGATGCATGTACTCGAAGCGCTTTATTTACCTGGGAGCGACTTTTCCATCTTTTGCAGATTCCGACACCATAGCTGAGTTGCAGGAGCTCCAGCCTTCGGCAAAGGACTTTGAAGTCAGAAGTCTCGTCGGTTGTGGTCACTTTGCTGATGTGCAGGTGGTAAAAGAGAAAGCAACTGGGGACATCTATGCCATGAAAGTCATGAAGAAGAAGGCCTTACTGGCCCAGGAGCAGGTAGGAGCATTTTAATTTAACATCACGGTTTTCCCCTTTCTGAACCGGAATGCTCGTTGTAGAACAGTCATCTGCTGCATTACCATCTAGGATCGAGCACGTTTTCCTCCGACTCTATATTTAATTGCAGTTGCATGGGCAGAAAGGTCTCTCATGTTCTGAGCTCTTCTTGTACTGATGCTAATTTTGAAGGCTCACAAATTCCCCTTGATTTCTGTATCATGTTTCTATAGTTGTATTTTATTTCAGAACTAAATTGGCCTTTTAACTAATGAATCTAAGATGATCTTTCATGCCCATCAGCTGGGGATTCAGGATATGCAGATGGTGGGGTGAATCAGATAGCATTTGCTTTTTGTACACGCTTTAGATAGTTGTGTTGTGAGCATGTATATTTGATTTTAAAACAGGCCTTTGAAGAAATTAAGCAAAATTGTTATGTGGCTAGGGAGTTGAGAACAGGTAAGAAGTTATCTTTTTGGTTGTGGTGTTTTTCTTTCTTTTAAACAAGGCTGATGTCTCTAAATGTATTGATTCTTTTGCTGTGTCTCAGAGAGAGAGAGCCATCAGCCTTGCAGTGCAGAGAGTAATTTATTACTTACAGACATTCTAGTGCTCATGATGTGTTCGATAATATACTCAGCTCCGTGGGAAGCCAGCAAAAGGAATTGAAGTTCCATGACTGTTATTTTCAGGGTTTAAAAACAACCCTTGGAAAGTGGAGGAAAAATGCAAATATCTAAAGCAGGTGCTTACCAGCTAAAGTATCACAGAAGGGGGAGAACAATTAGCAAATTCATTAATGATGATGTGAGGGGGTGATGTGGGTGAGCCAGGGACAGGGAAAGCTGTCACTGAGGATTGGGAAGGCAGGTTTTGGGGGGAGAAGTGATGAGAATGTGCCGAGTACAAGGGTGGCCTTGTGTGACGTTCTGGAGGTTTGAGTACTAGAATGCTATGCAGGAGTGTGTGTGTGTGTGTGTGTGTGTGTGTGTGTGTGTGTTTAGTGGTTTAGATGGGGAAGTGGGGAGAAATGAGGACATTTGAGTGGAGACATAACATAAAATGTACCATTTCAACCATTTTTAAGTGTACAATTCAGTGGTATTACGGTATTAAGTGCATTCACAATGCTATACAGCCATGATCATTGTCCACTTCTAGAACTTTTTCATCATCCCAAACAGAAACTTTGTATGCGTTACACAATAGCTCCCCATTCCCCCAACAAC